TGTGTGTGTGTGTGTGTGTGTGTGTGTGTGTGTGTGTGTGTGCATGTGTGTGTGTGAGTGTGCGTGAGTGTGTGTGTGCGTGGGTGGGTGCGTGCGTGAGTATGATTGTGTGTACGTGCGTGCACGCGTTCGTGCGTACGACTGGGTGTGTGTGTGTGTGTATGTGTGTGTGTGTGTGTGTGTGTGTGTGTGTGTTTGTGTGTGTGAGTGTGTGTGTGAGTGTGTGTGTGAGTGTGTGTGTATGGCTGTGTGTGTATGGCTGTGTGTGTGCGTGCGTGTGCTTATGTGTGTGCATGTGTGTGCGTGAGTGCGCGCGTGTGTGTGCTGAGAGAGAGGGTCTCCTGGCTACCCTCCAACCACCTGTGATTACACAGGCTTGACAGCGTAATAATTGCTCCCCAAAAGATCTTCTGACAACAGGGGGTAAAAACGAACGTAGGACGGTACTGCCCTAGGCTCTCTGGGTAAAATAACCTAGGTACTATCTGGTACTACCACATCATTAGATCAAGAGGCCACGCAAAGACCGTTTTCCATTCTAGACAGGTTGTCTTCCTTTACAGAGTTTAAGGGATAAGAACGTCTTTAAATGCCTATGGCTGTTCTTTTTTTGTTTGTTAGTTTGTTTGTTTGATTTATTTTTGGGATAAAAAAGAAGCATGTCCACACAATAACGGTAATTTAATGCAGGGAAAGAGAAAGACAGACAAACAGACAGAATCAAAAGAGGGAAAGACAAAAAGTAGGATCTGCCATGAGTGGCGCTCTCCAGTAGTGGTGGGCAAAATCCGGGTAACCGGATAATTCAACAACAAAACATTATCCGAATTCAGACTCTTAAATTATCTTTCCTGACCCAATTGCCGAAGTTTGTGCACCCATTTGTTTAAGTGGTCTTAACCCGTTTTTCGAAGTGATTCTAACTCATTTTCCGAAGCGGATCATGACAATATATTATTTGCAGAAGAGGGGCACTTACATTTATCCGAATTTTGTAAAAGCGACTCATTGCCCAACCCAACTCTCCAGCCGAACGCGTTCCCTCTTGTTAATGTTATTGAAAGCTGGACATTACTTAAATTGAGACCAAAGTTGTGTATGTGTGTGCGTGAGCGTGTGTGTGTGTGTGCGTGTGAGTGTGTGTGTGTGTGTGTGTGTGTGTGTGTGTGTGTGTGTGTATACGAGTGTATGTATGAGTTTGTGTGTGTATGTGAGTGTGTATATATGTTTGTGAGTGTGTGTGTATGTTTGTTTGTGCGCGCGTGTGTGTGTGTGTGTGTGAGTGT